CCCCCCGCCCCGCACCCCCCTCATTGCCCCTGGGTTAGAATCGGCCTATATACTCTACTCCCGGTATACGCGATGACTCATAAATACTTATTCGCAGTTTAACAATGCTACTAATAACGTTCATGGTGGCTTTACTCGATACTCTACTTTTAACTATATAATAACACTTTTTCACAATCACCCGGTATAATTTATCACTCTTTATCAACACTCTAAATTCGACTGATGGTCTCATTGATTATAACGGTATGTTTTAATCAAAATCCAATCTCATTTACTTTATTTCCAGTCTATTACAAAATATGAATTTCTACCGGTCACCCGTTATACGATCACTCGTCAAATTATTACCGTATCTACGGTTTTGTGGCCTTATGGGCATCTAATAAATTATTTACAACTAATACTAACCTTAATGCTAATCAAATCTTTTTTCCTTTATTTTCTCTTTTTCTACTTTCGAAACAAAATCTGTCACTATTACTAATTCTACCCTATAACTTAATCTATTACTTAGTCTGCTACTCTTAAATATTCTATTATTTACAGGTTGTCCACATTACCTCGTGCTGGCCGACGTCTTTGATCCGGAGATGAAGCCGGAGCCTAGCCTCCGGTTTCAAGGTTCAAAATTTTTCAGACGACCCTCGTACTTGCAGTATTTTGTAGTATTTTGTAGTTGCGACAGATTTGTTAACCTGAATAGAGTCGTCAAACGATAAATATCTCGGTTTGCAGGGCAGAATGACGCTTTTTTCTGTCAAATTCTTTCATTTTGTATAAAAACGCTAGTGAGATAATTTCATCGAAGTTGAAGCAGAGGAATAATTATTCTCAATAATTACCTACATAAATACACACAGGACAGCATTTTATATTTCTTAAATAGAAAGTCATGGATGATCAAAATCAAGATCTTACATATGAATATTGTGAAGAAGACACTGACACTATGTTGATTGATCTTGTTAAAAACTTTCCTTATCTTTATAATAAAAGTCAGACAGATTTCAAGAATACACGAAAAAAGGATTTTGCATGGTTGGAAATCTCTTCTATTTTAAAATTAACAGGTAATTTTTTATATAATTAAACATCTCTATATGATTTTTCTAACCTTTCTTTTTATTAATGTAATTTTTGTGTTTGTACATTAGTTCCAGATTGTCAAAGTAAATGGCAAAGACTTCGAGAAAAATTTTCTCGTGAAAAGAAAAAAAGGGAATTAGAAAGTTGTAGTGGCAGTGCAGCATGCACAAGATCTACATTCTTATTGTATGATCAAATGAAATTTTTAGATTGTTTTGTCAAAACTAGAAAGTAAGTTTAACTATTAATTAATTTTAAGATAATTCTAGATTATATATGTTTTTATTTATATATAATTAATATGATATTTATAGAACTTATTAGAATATTACATCAAAAGGCACATATTTTACTACTAAGCCAAAAAATACTCTGAAATATGTAACACATACAGTCGCATCTGCAAACAGGTAAATATAAATCTTTAGTAACATAAAAGTTTTATTTTGTTTGCAAATTAGAAATAATTTTAAGAGCTTTACAGTTAAATAAATATTCATACAAATAATTGTATACATTATAAATATACATATATATGTATATATATTTTATATATACATATTTCTAATATATATAATAGCTGTTATAATATTATCTCTTTTTTTTAGTAATCCTATTTCATCTGACAATGAGTTGCCGAAACCATTATCATTATCGTTACCATCACGATCCTCGTCTTCATCTCCGATTTCATTCCCAATCTTTGTTGCAATTTTCTGCTGCAACCTTATCTCCTAATACTGATAAATCATGTATACAATCACGTATGAAAATTATACTTGAAAATAAGGAAAATAAGGAAAATAAGGTAAATGAGAATAGAAAATATAATAAGAGGAAGATAACAGAAGAGACAGATGAAATAGAGACATCAAGAACTTATCATCTATTGTAACTCAACATATTTTACAAAAACCAAAAATGGACGAAGATGATCATTTTTGTCAAAGTATTGCGTATCAGTTACGCAAAGTAGAGGAACCACGAAAAACTGAGTTAAAGGGACAGATAATGAAAATTTTATACCAGTTATAAAGGTAAATTTTTATGATTTTATTTTTTTATATTAAAAAGTATATTTAGCTCGATTGACACTAGTCATTTTATTTGTATCTTTCTAGAAAAATACGTTTAATGGATAAACATCCGATTCTACAGCCGCAAAACATTTATATGTATACTAGAAATGGACAAAGTGAGTGCAAAGTATAAAAAGTTTTACTGATATTCTTGGCAACAACATTATTTAACATTTTTTATGATTAGTCATACATTAGTTTTGTTTCTTTTTCAAAGTCTATTATCTATACATTAAGATATTTTTCATTTTATAAGGTAATGTTTAATTGAGTCGATTCTCTATCTTGAAACAAGGTGAAAATTTCTAAAGCGAATTTATTAGAATACTTACAATTTCATTGATAAATATCGAGTAAATTTGTTCATTTTAATAATTTTTATCTTGTTTAAAGATACAGAATTAACCTCCTGAATTAACAGTATTTTAGTTTATCGCCTGTGCAATTGTCAAACAAAGACTATTCTAAGACAACTAATTTAATTTCGAAAATAATATATATTGTGACAAAAGTTTTTGTGATAACAGTTAGTAATAAAATAAAAATATAGTATAAGTATAAACTTAATAATATAAGTATGCTATCAAATGTTTTATTATTCAAAATAATTAAGTATGAAATTTTTGTTGATTTATGTTGAAAAAAAATTTTTGATAATTTTAAGTTATTGCGTATAAGACTGAATATATATGGGGCATTCTCCGCGTGTCGGAGTCCCCTTCTGCGCGCCCATTTCATTTTTTTACAGAATTCAACCAACCAGGGCTTAAAATTTTCGTTGGAGTGTCTACTTTTTAATGGCGTGTGGCCTTTTGTGAAAATTCAAAATGGCGGACTGGTGCAGCACCGAGAATGAAAAAAGTATAAAAAATGAAGTATATATCTTTAAAAAAAATGCAGAATTGACACTTCATTCGGATGATACTGTATACTGATGAGTTTTCGAGGTTGCTGGTGATTGCTTTTGATATACGGCGTAAATCTTTGCCGATATGACCTTTTTCCCCCAGTACAGAAAACGGATTTGCGCATCTGTCTACTCGACTACTGGAAGGCATTGTAAAATATATCTAGTCAGTTGGGAAATAGATAATCTACATTCACGAATTCTGTTTGGAAATTTCTAATTGAAAAATTGACAGATAAAATATCAAGACGAAAAATGAAGACAAAAACTAAAGAGAAAAATCAAGTGAGAAATCAAGCTGCAGTATACGATTTTGCATGAATTGTTGAGCCTTTAAATTCGCCGCGTCCTACTTTGCTTACGAGAAACAAGAGCCGCTCACTGACGTACCGTATTGGCTGCAATGCTGTCAGTGCCCAGTATCACAGCCAATACGATGGTAAGGTTCTAATTCAGCTAGCAATCCAGCAGGAAAACAAGCATCGTGTGCCGCAAGCTTTACTGATGAGTCTAGTAGTGTGGGACCAGGACGAAACGCTGCGACCGACCACAAAGCTTCGAGTTAGGCCTCCTTAATTGGACATTTCCACAAACTCATCAATTAAAACATTTTGTAAAAATATCATATTCCCATTTCAATTATGAAGTAAGTGAAAATTTCAAAATAGAACTCGAATTTTTTAACTATACCGCCATTTTGAATTTCTCAATTTCGACTTCAGAATCGGAACCAGCAACCTCGAAAACTCCTCAGTATACAGTATCATCCGAATGAAGTGTCACTTCTGCATTTTTTTTAAAGATATATACTTCATTTTTTATACTTTTTTCATTCTCGGCGCTGCACCAGTCCGCCATTTTGAATTTTCACAAAAGGTCACACGCCATTAAAAAGTAGACACTCCAACGAAAATTTTAATGGGCGCAGAAATGGGCGCAGAAATGGGCGCAGAAGGGGACTCCGACACGCGGAGAGAATGCCCCATATACAATTTACTTTTTAAAAGTTTAAATTTGTTAAAACAAAAAATATAGAATCAAACTAAATACGCTTGTCACTCTTATATGATTAGCTTATAGGTATTTTATGTTGTTGCAAATCATTTGTATTTCTATATTTTCTATGATAAAATAATAGAAGATAAAATTAAGTACATATTTTAGAATATTATATTATTCATACAGTAAATCACTATTAAATCCTTCATGTACACGTTCATATTGCCATGTAACTTCGCCTTCAGGTGATAATAAATATTTAGTTAAAGTTTCTCATTGTTTTCATAGGCTTCACGAGTTGCTCTATGTGCACTAGTAGATCCTAAACCTTCAATATTTGACATTTCATCACTCCATATTCCTGGAATTGTTCTTCTCATATCATCATCATGGTCAATAAAATTTGATGAGCAATAAGTTTGTTCACAAGCAGGCTGTTTTGCATTTTCCGTCATTAAAAAATTATGCAAAAATATACATGCCGTGACTATTCGATCTACTGTTGACGGATGAGCACATATTGGATGACGAAGTATTCGCCATTTTGATACCAGAATGTCGAAAGCATTTTCAATGACGCGTCTTGCACGTGACAAACGATAATTAAATATATTTTTATCATTACTTAAAAATCTACCAGGATATGGACGCATTACATTTTTATGCAATTGAAAAGCTTCGTCACCAACGACAAAATAAGGCAAGTTTATATTCGATTGAGGTAATTTTTTAGTTTTATGAGGTATGTTGAGTGTTCCATCATACAGTGCTTTTCCAAATATCGATTTAGATAATACTCCAGCATCACAATTACTGCCAAAAGCACCCACATCAACTACAGTAAACTTATACTCATGGTCACACATGGCCATAAGCACTATACTAAAAGTTTTCTTATAATTAAAATATAGACTTCCAGACTTTGGTGGTGCTTGTATCTGGATGTGTTTACCATCTATTACTCCTATTGTGTTCGGAAAATTCCAATTTTGCTAGTATCCTGTGCTTATGTTTTTCCATTCGTTTAATGTTGGTACCTTAAACAATCCCTGCTTAAAAATGTTGATAGAGAACGATTAAAAACGGTAAGATTTCTATCAGTTTGTATCGTTTTCTATAAGCTCTATCGTCATGGCTCACCAGCCTTAGATATGAATCCTATCGTATTTATTTTATCGGATTTTATAAAACTCGTATTTTATAGGAAACTAACGATAGAAAATTTATCATCTTCTATCGTATTTTATCTATTGTATCTAACGGAATAGTAAAATGTCGAATTAGCATTTATCGGGTTCTATTGTTATTTAACGAATAACTGTCAATCGTATATTAACAACAAAAATTAAATCGTTATCAATATGAAATTTATTTATTGAGTTTCTATCGGCAAAGTAAGAAACTAATTCTATAAGATTCTATCGTTTTATAGCGAATTGGAAAACTTATCGAAATGTATATGAAAAATACGAACGAAATTTCATAGATTTCCATCTGACTTTTCAGAGTGGTAATATCAATCGGAATTTATCGTAATTTTGCTATACAAAATGAATCGTTATCAATATAAAATTTATTCACTGAGTTTGTATAGAAAAGTAAGAAATCAATTCTACAAGATTCTATCGTTTTATAGCGAATAGGAAAATTAATCAAAATGTATACGAAAAATATTGAATTTTATACATTTCCATCTGACTTCCCAGAATGTCAGTACCTATAGAAATTTATCGTAATTTCACTATACAAATGGATTGTTCTCAATCTGCAATGTAGTCAATGAACTTTTATCAGTAAAGTTCGGAATCAATATGATATAATTTATCATTTTTTAGCAAAATATAGAGGAAAATCCCCTATAAAACAATTCTTTGAATTAAGTTTCACATTGTACAGGTTTAAAGAATAATAATCTTTTTATAATATATAATTTATATTTCACATAAAAAAATACCTATATTAAACATTACATATTATACATTATTAATTAGATGTTATGTATGTATACAATTGAACAAAAACTATGTGTATAAATGTACAAATACACACATGCACACGTATAGGCATAGATAAATAACAAATCTTAATTTTCTAATTATTAAATTAGATAACCCGGCAAGTCGTATAGAAAAGTGTATATATACGTTTCGATAAATATGTAATCATTTAAGTAAGACTATAGTTAAATCACGATAGAAATACATAAGTTTTCTACAGTTATCGAAATATGGGTTCGATTAAAACATGGTTTACCATAAAATTCTGTTAACTTTTAATAAAATTTAAACATGTTTCTATTATTTTGTATTAGTTTTTTAATTAAACTCAACTTCTATTTTCGAATAATATTATTTTGTATTTATTTATTTCTTAAAATTTTTTTCTTAAGATTTATTTCTTTTATTTGCTAAGTAACTTTATATTACAGAGTACATGAATTGAAATGATAAGATATGACTACATTTATTGAATCTCAATTGTATTTGGCAGTGCGCAAACATAACGTTCTCCAACATCAATGAATGTCATTTTTCGTTTAATCTGTTCAATTGAAGTTACAATAATATTCTTCTCCTTTTTAATAACTCTCATTAAATGTGGCATTGGTACATTGTCTTTTATTGCTGCAATCACTATTTTGCGAACTATCATGTAATGTTGTTCTTCAAAATAGACAAATTTTACAATTTAAACAATGGTATTATTTTTCAATTGTATTATAGTATCATTTGTCTTCTTTGGCCGATCATACAAACTGCTATGAAATACTGTACCTTTAAATATGCATCTATTAAAAATAAGACCATTACGTACAGGTTCTTCTGCAGCGTCTACAATATTTGTTAATGGTATGCCCTCACCAGTAAATGTAATACCAGTAAATGTAATACCATTTTCAGTATATATATTTCGTTAATAGTCGGTATTCGAATAAATCTTTACAATATCGATAACTATTATCACTATTAAATGCAATTGTAGCCACGGAATGTCGATATTTCATAAGTCTTGTTTATCTATTATTTGATTTCGCACACCCTTATGTCCATTTACATATTGCTTTAAATGAAAAATGTTGCTTTCGTATGGAAATGTTGATGTAGCCCACAATGGTCCAGATTTTCTAACAGATTGTACTAATTAATGCAATACAGAATGCATATTAAAAGTGATTACTTCTTCTCCATATAATATTTCACATTCGCCTACAAATCTTACTAGATCTAATTCACATTGCAATAGATTTTCTTCACTTATGTCAGTCTGTAAAAGAATATAAACACTTCGTACTAATAATAAGAAAGAATGTGTTTTCAAGAATGCAAGCATGGATAACTATAAAATAATAGCCAAGATCACCATTCCGTAGCCTTCCATTTTGCTTTAGACATTAAACTGCGCGGAATTCGATGAATTTCGTGAGGTGGTTTTATCGCCAATCGATCGTTAATAATTGAGCGTTTCTTCGCTGTTAAAGAAAATTTATGATTTGGTGTAATCCAAATTTCCCACATATACTTAGTTACACCCAAAAGAACACCATGCATATAATCAACGGGGTAACCCCAAATACTATCAAACAGTGGCATTTTCATTAATTCAGATTCACCCTTCACATCTTTAATCATTTTCTGTAAAAATTAATTAATGACAAAAGTGGTTATACAAATAAATATGAGCTATAAGGAGCATTAAACCACGCACTAGTTGTAATTAGTGATAAATTTAATTTATTACATTTAAATATATGTTAGTAGACGTTTCGACCAACATCTGGTCATCTTCAGTACATTAATGACTTAATGGTAATTTGATTACATATTACATAGCGGTATAATTAAATTAATTTTTAATTAAATTTCTGTATTAATACGAGTTAATTTCGTTATTCGTCTGAGTCATAATTTGTCATCAAGAAGGAGATGGATCACGTTAACAAGAACTTCCAAATTCTAATAAAATTTATTTAATTATTAATTTGTTGGACAGAACTAAATTTAATTATTTAATTTTGTTAAAAATACCTGTTATTTTGTCCATATGAGAAATGCTTATCAATGTGAGTGTACAGCAATTATTTCTTCGACAAAAATTTCTTTTATGGATCATTACAGAATCTGTTTCGATAGCTTATGCTCGATTGTCGTTGAATACATGTTTGTTGAGATATATATAACACGCGAGAAGGAGAAATTTCCAGAAGAACATTGAAAGAGGAACAAAGACTCATTTTAGAAGAGGAAGATAGATATCAGGCAGTTTTTCCATATCGCTTTGCTTGTTTATGCTATTTGTTTGACTTTTTATATGAATCATTTCAAATATTCCTCTCTTCAAAAACGAGCTCTCTTTATCAAGAATCATAACATTTTCCCAATTTAGATTATGATTGTAATCCGTTTGATGTCTTGAAACTACAGACATCGCGTCAGTTGATTTACGTATATCGATTTTATGTTCTTTGATTCGAGTTTTTAGTTTGCGTTTAGTCTGTCCGACATATGAAAAATCACAATTTAGACAATTTATTTTATATACTAATTCGCATTGTTCATCCTTATTTAAAATATCTTTTCCAGTTTTTATAAATTTGTTTAGTTTGTTCATAGGTTTGTAAGTTATATTGAAACCATTATTATGTGCTATTTTTTTGAATTTTTCCGATAAATTATTAACGTATGGAACTACAAAAAATTTTTTATTGTTAAATCATTATTCTCATTATTGTTGTTGTTTTTATTATTTCTATATTCCAACGTTTTGATTCTATTTGTAATATTGAAAAAATAAATTCCAATGGGTACCCGTTTATTAATAAATTGTTTATTAGATTAGTAATATTTTTTTCATGAAACTGTGGGTGCGATAGGTTTATAATTCTGTCGAATTGACCTATAATTATTCCTCTTTTATGCTCAACCGGGTGATTTGAATGAAAATTTAAATATCTCCCCGAGTTAGTAGGTTTTTTATATAAGTCAAATATGATTCGTCCGTCATGATTTATAAATTTAACATCTAAAAAACTTATCCCATTCTCATCACCATAATCCAAAGTAAACTTGATACGTTCATGGTATGAGTTGAACAATTTTAAAATAGTGTCGATCTTGTCACTCTCTACCGATAATACAATGTCATCAACATAACGGAAATAAAAAGAAGTGAATATGTTGTTAGATTTTAGAATGTATTCTTCTAGATCTTGTAAAACGATGTTCGCTAATATCGGAGAGAGAGGAGAACCCATGGGTAAACCAAAGATTTGTTTAAAAATTTTTTTGTCAAATTTAAAAAATGTGGAGTTAAAAATGATAGAGATCGCTGTTAAAAATTCATTAATAGGTATTAAGGTTCCAGTTTTTATAGATTCCCATCTTCGTTCTATGCTTTTTTTAACTAGGTCAATCGGTATATTAGTATACATGGATACTACGTCAAATGATATAATACTAAAATTATCCTTTATTGGCATCCCATTGAGTTTCTTTACAATTTCGACACTATTTTTTACATGACCAAAGTTATTTTTATTTTTGTTTTCTATTAAATCTTTTAGGAAAGTCGCCAAAGGAAAAAAAGCGCTGTTAATGCAACTGATTATTATTCTAAGAGGTTGGAATTCTTTATGAATTTTTACTAATCCATAACTTCTTGGAAGATTAGAATCTGTTACAAGCATTTTTTTGTATAATTCTTGGTCAATGTATCCTTTGTTTCTCCATCTCACCAACAAGTTACGTATGTCACGTTATTTTATTAGTTGGATCTTTATTTATCAAAGTATATGTACTTTGATATGATAGATCAACAATTCACTATGTAAGTCATCAAGAAGTAAAATTGAAAGACTAAAACAAAATTTCATATA